TCTTTCTGTGAATGTGCAATCCCATCCACAGAGGGAAAATTTCCTGATTAACTTCTCTGGAGAATTTCTTCCTTTTCCATTTGCGATAATAAAATAGGTGAGACAAGGTCACACGCTATTTATAGCCATCTCACTGCTACTTGCTCCTACTCGCCCAGGCAGTAGGCTCTGCACAGACACAATGAGATTAATCCCTCATGACGCTGAACCTTTTATTTCCCTTGTTATCGGTGCTTACCGACTCCAGAGCCTCCCTCCTCTGCAGAGTTCAGCGCACTAAGCCTTTGATACAACACAGCAGCCTTGGAGCTATGGAAAAGTTTTAAAAAAACAATATCTGTTCAGCAAACCAGGAGCTTCCTGAAGGTCTGAGACGTTGGTTTCTAGGTCAGCCGAATGGTTTGACATTTTTTCTCACAAGCTCCATGCCAGGTTCATGCACTCGGCAATTAACTGAGGTTATGTGCAGGTGGGTCCAGTCTTGGCGTGGCAAGAAACGCTGGAGGTTTGAGGGATCTGACACATTTTCCAGTGCATAAGCCTTCCTTCTGCCCCACCTAAAAAAGAAGTGTAAATTCAAAGTCTGTCGTACGTGCTGAAGATCCCTTAATATAGAAAGAGGTTGGATTACGGCAGTCACACAGAATGTATGGCAGTTGCTAGTATCTGATGATACGTTCAGTGAAGTGAGAATTCGTTGTCAAAACCAGTGTGAGGTCTTGGTTGTAGCATGGACCTGGCACCATGCTTGTTCTGCTTTGTTATCCCCACTGCTGAGCACCAGAGAGCTTAAGAACTGGAAGTTTAGGGTCGTTGTAGCTAACCCTGCGGCACTGTTGTGTGGCGGATCCCCTGGGGAAGGGGCTGGGGGGTTATGTGAGCTTGCTGGCACGAGAGGGGCTTTGGGCAGAATTAATTTGTTTGCAAATAGTGAGGGCAAGTGTGAATTCAGAGCATGTGCCTGCACATGGAGCTGAGCCGATCCGAGCTGTTTTTGGGTGGCATTAGTGATGAGGTGAACCCTCTGGGTTTCTATTTGAGGGATGCAGCAGCTGAAGTGGTGATAAAATCAAACAGCACGTTAGACATGTTCCTGCCAGACAGTTTGTTTTCTAAGCGTGGCAGGTTGGTACCACTGGCATTAAGAGTACAAATTAGATTGCTCATCATGGAGTTTACTGGCTGATACGTAGCTTGACAGGTACCAGCATGACGCTGAACTGTGAAGGGACTGTTAACATAATATTACGTGTTTCACTCTGCAGCCCATGAAAGCTCCATAAAGGATTTTCTCAACGGTTATCCGTGAGATTTGGCATCGATTGTATAGTGATGCTCAAGATCATAGAATCATTAAGGTTGGAAAACACCTCAAGGATCATCAAGTCCAACCATCAACCCAACACGATGTTCACGCAAGGTCCTTTCTCCAGCCTGTGTTTGGTCCTGTCTAATGTCCTGGTTAAAACAGCCTTCCTAATCCAAGCCGCTACTGCAGGCTGGAAGTCGCAGTCCCACTGGAATCCGGGCCAGCACTGTCCCAGATGGGAATGAAACCCAGCATTTGCAGTCTGCTGAAATTCTTTAATCTGAGGTTTTGCTGCTTAGAATATTTTTCCTGTTTTTCTGTGAAATTAAACGTTCCTAACATTTGAATGAGGAAAAAAAAAACATTTTTCATCATCAAAACCCAGAAGCGCTTAAATGTTGTGTTTTCCCCTTCTTGGCTCTAGCCATTGGCATGGTAAGGTCGAAACGGACAGGGTGTTCCCGGGGCTCTCAGTGCTGCTCTTCTGATTTTGTGTGTCCTCTCTGGCCGAAGTGGTCTCATTCCCCCCTATTCTGGTCCAGCGGTCTCATTCCGGTGGGTTGAACAAGCAGACCTTAGAGCACATACTAAGGTTGTGATTCTCCAGTTGTCATTTTTTCCTTGCTGATTTTCCTGCGGTGGTGGTTGTGCAAAGATCAAAATCCCCTCCTGTTACGTGCTTGCATATGCTTATGGTCCCTGAGTTGCTTGCCATCTAAATAAACAAAGCGATTACCCTGTGGGAGAAATGCTATTATTTTTATTGTTATTCATTTCAAACAATGGAAAATCAGGCGCAAAGAAAACAAAATGTTTTTTTTCCAGTGGCTGCACAGTGAGATTGCAACAGGGCCAGGAACCGAGTCCAGGTGTCCCGAGTCCCAGCCCAGACCTTTAAGCACCAAAATATCCTGTTCCTTGTGAATTCAGAGTGTTTTGGCAAAACTTTCCCTAGAGTGTTTCGTAATTAATGTCAGTGCTAGTCTCTGAATGTGTCTTACCAGTTAGGAATTTGCTTTTGTATGCATGCATCCACTTAAAAACTCCCCCAAATGCAGCAGCTGTTGGATTCCCTGTGTCACTTGAATGTTTCTAAGGCAAATACAGGACACGATAAATGGAAAAGTGTTGAGTTGAAATGTTCTGCTTTGAGTCCACTTAGCGAAAACCAAAGGTCATCTCTGCTCTGGAGAGCCAGCAGGACTAGACACAGCATGAGCCTTGTTTCGTGGGTGGGAAAGGGATTTTCTGTTGTGTCTGGAAATCAGACTCTTCCCATCTCACGGGGGTAGATTTTGTCCAGGAAGAGCTCAGCCCATCCTAGGATCTGTGACAGTTTTGGACAGTTTTCTGAAAAGGAGCTAAAACCAAAGGAAAAAGGATCATCCCACAACAGACTGTTGCAGCTTGCATCTCAAGGGACCAGTTCCCTTGCTGAGATGAGTTTGGTCCCTTTTAAGTCTGCACAGACAGGATGCTGTCTGTGAATAGAAATCTCTGGCGTGGTGTGGAAGAACACAATTCTTCTGAGCAGCTCAAATTGTGGCTTCATAGCAGTCCTCTGGATCGGGTCAGCAGCTCATGTATCTCCAGCAATCCTCTTGACCCATCTTGACTTCTCTAATTACCAGCTGCAGCAGTAATAACACTCAGCATGACCTGAAAATTCCCAGTGTGAGATGCTCTGGTCAGTCCTTTATCTTGGATCAGATGCTGCGATGAGATTTTCCAGGGTAGGATTATATTGAGACGAGCTTTTTCAGGATGAGATGTATGTTTCTGAAGAAGAATATATCTTTTTTTAAATTGTTTTTTTAAAAAGTTATTTTACACTGAAGATGTTTAGGGATTTTTTTTGTGCTGTCCTGGATATAAAAAGTTTTTACAGTCATTTTGCTCCCCTGCTGGGAAGCCAAGCAGTTATGCTGGAGAGTGGTGTCCTTGGGAAAACTCCGAGCGAAGGACTGAAATACATCTTGTTTTTGCACTAAACGCTGGCTTCCCTGCATACGTTGTCAGCACAGAGCTAATCCTGAAAAACTTCTGAAGTTGACACAAGGCGGATTTTTTGCGTTTCTGTGGGCATCGCAGCACAGTGGTGCTTTGGTGTTCAAAGGGCAGATCTGGGGAGCAGGCTGAGATGCTGGCTGAGCGGAGCTTTCATCTTCCTTTCGGAGGTATTCACGCGTGCCCTGGCATTTCTGGGAACCGGACCAGCACTATGGGCTGTGCTGGAGCAGCCGAGGAGCGGAGGGGCTTTAGGAGAGCTCCCGTCTGGTGTGGGGCTGGCCCATGGCCGTGGCTGGGCTTTTCCTCCAAAAGGTCCTCATGCATCTGGGCACCTGCTTGGAGAATGTCTCCATGCCCCAGCGAGCAACATGAGACTGTGTCTGGACAGTCTGATAGAGAAGTGCCAATTGCACAAATCCCCTGGTACATTGGAGTATCTGCTCCCATTCCCTATCAAAGTCACCCAGGCATCCCTGACACGCTCAGCCAGTGATTTCCAACAGCTGTGGTGCTGTCTCCAGTTGCCACCAGCTTGACTCCTGGTAGCCCCCTTGTTTGCTCTGCAGACTGTTCCTAATCTAAACAGCCCAGATGAAAGTGCTGGGTGCTTCTCTGGGGATTTTGTTGGGTTTGTTACGTGCCAGGAGGCTTGGCGTGTGTCCTGCTGTGCTCTGCATCTTCCCTTTTTTCCGTCGCCTTTAAGCTGTGCTCCCCATCACCATCATCCATCTGTCTATCTATCTATCTATCTATCTGTCTATCTATCTAATTTCCTTTTTTTTACTGCAAAAATTGCTTTCAGCAGCTTGCTGCACTTTCTAATTCCAGCTTGTTTTGAGGAAAAGCCAAAGGAAAACTATTACAGTAATTTTTTAAAATATTTGCCACTTGGAAATCGTGTTTGAGAGCAGACATTCAAAGGGCATCGGCTGCTTCCTTCGCAGCCAAAACACGCTGCCTCCATGCTGCCCTTAGTGAAGATTACCTTGCAGAAATAATGCACATCTTCACCCTGTATTTTCCTGAGTCTTGCCAAACTTTATGTGCAGTAGGAAAGGAGGCATCATTCTCCCAACTAAAACAAGTGGGGTATTTTATTAATGCTAGCAGCCAGTTCCACTTTACAAACAGGAGCAGATTTGCCAGGTGATTTGGTGTGGGCTTGGTGCTTCCAGGGGGACTCTCCTTGTCCAGCCAAATCCAACTTGTAGCTCTTGCCCCCCTCCTGCTATTCCTGCTCAGAGCAGCGCTCGGCATAAAAAAGGATTACTATAAAAGTTATTATATGCCTGGCTGGTGATGGGTGTTTGTATGCCCTCTGTCAAGGAGAACACTTGGACACAGTGACTCATCTCTCCACCTGGGACTGTGCAGGGGATTGAGTAGCTGAGTTCAGAGAACGAGCAGCTGGAAAACAGGCTGGACCCCATCACCAATAGACCATGTTGCAGGCAGATGAGTGACCTGTCTGGCTCTCAGG